TAGGAACCACTGATGAGTGGTCAATTACATAAGAATAGAATTCCACGTTGTCTACGCTAGGTATATGACATGACAGTTTTGTGACAAAGAGACATTCTATTCCACAGCCACACACAGACAATGGTTTCCATGTCATAAAAGTGATAAAATATAGAATTCATGTATCAGACTCAATATATCTATTATAGTATTGAGGTAAAAACTAATGAATTAAATACATCTTGAATTTTTAGGTTTTGTGCAATAATTATATAAAAGAACAAATTATATATTCTTCCTGAAATTGCATAATATCAGCAGATTACACTGGCTGTTCAACATGTCATAGAAGTGCTAAATGGTGGAAATTAAATCTTAGTATCGTCGTTACAGAGACTTTCGCGGGTTTCTAAATCTTCTCTTCCAACTTTTCAAGTTTTTTATCCAGCTAGAATGAAATCACTACATGCTTACTCTGCGTCAGTCCCATTTTTATTACTAGGCAAGTCATTTGGAAATGCTTGAAAATTAAATTTAAGAAATATTTATAGTTATATAATAGTTTTTTCACAATCTACAAGAAGAACAGGGTTTCTCTAATTGCGATGGAAACAGGTTGTCTATGGTGAATATTCATAAAAGTTTCATCTCATGTGCACTAGTCCTATGAATGAATAAATTTTGATATGATAAATAGACTTTGTGAATCATATCTATAAATTCTATATTTCTGTTGTGATGTAGGTGTCTGTTCTATTATTCGACTGAGTATTTTAATAAAACGTATGGTGAGGGGGCCACAGAAATGCATTGTTTTAACTGGACCAAAAAGTGGGCCTGAATGCCCAAGCAAGTTTTGTGACCGGGGGACTTGATAATATCCCAGTTTTATTTCAAGATTTTCATATCAAGACAATGAGAAGGTCTTTGCTGTCAACATAGTCTCCATCTATGCAATACCTCTGTCGTTTTCAAAATCCTGTTTGACTCAGACTGGTCATTGACTTGGCTGGGCGGTGCCCTGACAAAAAATTTAGACATACTGAAATTTACAAGCACACCACAGAAAGGTATATCATCTTTGCGTTATGCATAGCATGTTAGATGGTATGCAGTAATGTAAGTTTATAATTTTCACACGGTATATTGTATTTCAGTTGAGTTTCAATTGCTGTGCAAACAATGGTTGCCGAGGAGTAATCATAAATTATATAAGAATAAATCTACATTCTGTCTGCACTGGGTATATGACATGAAAGTTTTATGACGAATACATTCTACAAGTCTTTAATTATTCTTCGCCACACACAGACGATGGTTTCCATGTCATGAAATTGATAAATTATAGAATTCATATATCAATCTTAATATTTGTATTATTGGAGGTAAAACCTCATGACTTGAGTGATCTTAAAATAAAATCCTTTTATGTTTTGTGCAACAGTTGTAGGAAAGAACAAATTATATATCCTTCTTAGTGCAATGTCATAATATTAGTGCCCACCATGTCATAAAACGATTTTCGGAGAGTTTTTCAGTTTTCCTAATTCTTTAAAAAGAGTTTTGACCTCAAAACTCCTCGCAAGCTGACTACAACAATCTGGGTATGATATTTTCGTTCACCCAGTGAACATGAAATGTAATACCTATACCTACCAAGTACCATATGTTCAGTGGCGCAGCTCTCTGGAAATTTGGGAAGACTAAAAAAGTGGCTGAAAGTGTATTTGCTTCTTAAAAGCTAATTTTTTTTTATATATATTTGATGATTGCCATCACGTCCTAAAACGATTACTTAACAAGCATCATTTCCTATGTCACAAACAGGGGAGCGACCATAGGAGCAGCAGGTTGTAGAAAGCGGTAGATAAATAGGTTTGATGATTTAAATAAAAATAAACAAAATGTCACCCTTACTTGACCCTAATCTTTTGTACCTTCGCTAAAAAAACACCCCCGGCAACGCTCAAAATAAGAAAGTTAGTGATTATTCAGATAAGGTTGGAAATACAGGAATGTTCAAATCATTCCGAAACCTAACTGGATAATTACTAGTTTGTTATTTTTTAACGTGGCTGGGGACGTTTTGCGCAAAAATCGCATTTTTGCAAAGGTGGGTGGCTTTGTACAAAATACACTCAATTTCCTTCATTCTCATGTATAACAACATCTATATTAGTTATATCCCTCGGATTGTTTCCGAAGTTAAGCGAAAGGGGCATCGTTTGCAGAAACTCGCCCTTGGCAACAGAAGAGTTGGTCACAAGTCATAAATATATCAAAAAAAAACTTTTTTTCGCAGGATGCGAGGCTGAATCTATGTGATTCGTCTGGTGCAGCGAACTATATGGCATATTTTCCCTCCTAACCAGCCCCTTTTTTATTTTTCCTGAAACCATCTTTCCTCACTGGAAGTGCCTCAGGTTCGACTATCCCTGGATTTTTATTTTCATTATGCATGTTTGTCTAAAATATACATTTACAATTTATTCAAGAAAAAATTGGAATCCTGTGCAATTGAGGTATCCAATCTACATGTAGAATAATCTGCTTTATCATATGTGGAAAATATTGTCTGCTGCAGAATGTCCATAGTTTGTACGTTTCTCTCAAGTCCTAGTCCTTTGATATTTGTATTCAGAATAATTTGTTGTTGCAGAGTTGTGATGACAAAATATCTGTTAAAAACATTTTTATCTCCAGCTGACTATATAAATAAGTTATTCATTTCCCTCAATTTTAAGTTCTGGATTGTCTTCACAGAGCCCAGATCAACGCAGTGTTACCTAGAAGTTAGAAATCACGATTTTGTTTGTGGCAGGTGAGTTGTATTTATAGTTAGTTCTGTTATTGCAATTGATTACGTATGTTATAAAACTCAAAATATTACATTTAGTCACGCAAAAGCTTTTTAAAGCTTTGATGAGCCTCTTTATAAAGAACTTTTGACTTGTAAATTATTTTCATTTATTTTGCTGGTAGTTTGATTTGTATTATTTTATGTCCTATGTCTTAATTAAATTTCATAAATATTTTTGTGGCATGTGTACCAATCCAATCAAGAGTTCCATCACCAATACTTTTAAAATGCTCACAAAATTATCCTATCTACTCTGTTGACATTTGAACAGGTGTAATTCAGGTTTTTAGATTTTAGAGTGGAAAAATGAAAAATAAAAATATTTGAAAACTAGTTGTAAGTGAATTTTATATTTGTAGGCTTGTAGCATTAACTATTTTGCAGACTGTATATTGTAGAGCAGGGAAATTCCAATATTTTGACCAAAGATCTGTTTAGAATGCTTCAAAATTGTTGGCGTCCGCCCGTTTCAAAAACTTTTTAATCTAATTTTGCGTTTTGAAGGAAAACAAATAAATCGATTCATGGAAATCTAAAGGAAAAAAATCAAATATTTGAAATTCTTGTTGCACTACAGGTATTCTCCAGGAAGATAGTTAGTTGTATATAAACTATAAATAACCATTATTGAAATATTATTCGATACCCAATCTGTGTTGCCATATATTGGCAACATATCAAGGGCTAACATTTCAATAATCCTACTTAGTGTATCCCACATGAAAAGTGATAATCATTTATGCTTTAGCGTTATGGTAGATTCCACACTTGTTTTAAAATTATACTGTTATTATTATGTTATATTTTAATTGTCTCCATGTATATAGTTAACATATAACATGTAAATATATCAGGAAACTAATGAGACAGGTTGTGTGTTCAATGTCTAACTGGCATCGTACACACCCTGCTTACATATCAGAACTAAAGCATAACAAAAAATAATTACTTTTAATTTGTTAACTGCTGATTTATTGATAACCTAAGTATTAAGAGTAGGTAGGGATTAGTTTAATTGCTCAATCGCAAATTTCACACAATTTAGGAATAACATTCATAGCAAATTATCTGTGTTAATAGCTTGAGCCTCTGAGAAAACTTTGATTGCAGTAACCCTATAGCCTAAATTTACTTCAACTTATCCTGTAGATCAGGAACTGGATGTTGCAACCCCACAGGAGGGTGCTTATTGGATTTTAGTGGTCACAAAGAGTAAACCAATTTCACACAGTGTACTATATATATTGCCCTTCTGTAGACTTTTGATTGGAACACAATTATTAAATCTTTGATTGGAAAAACAATTATTAAATCTCATGGGGTTGCAAAAAATTTTAAAAGGTTGGAAGGGTTGTAAAAATGCGTCATATTAAACTTTGATAGCCTGTACAAATTGGTCAAAATACCATGCATTTTCTCACATATTGTGACATGTGTTCACAGATGTTTTATAATGAGCCTATTTCTGAGTTGTGTTCTAGCATTGAACACTGAATAATTTATTTTATTTATTGGATAGAAATTTAAAATAGGTTACTTACTAATTCTATTTCATATATAAGATAGCTTACTGGCTATAGAAGATTTATGTATGTGGTCTGTGGAAGAAGCCATGACTGTACATTTTACATATTTATCTCAGGGAAGAGGAAAGGCCGCTTAATCGTATGATTAACCACGGCTTCTCATCCGTTTACCAGTTTGTGTCTGGTAAGGATTAGTTAGTTAGGTATTTTTCCAGATGCATTGATGGTGTATGAAGTCGTGGGTGACCAGCATTCACGTGACCCACTCTACAGTGACGAGGGTACAGCATTCCGGTGGCGAGCGTATTTCTAACGCTTAGTACGATGAGCCACACCGTCGCGGCGTACTTACATGAAATGCCATTTGATGGAAATAATAATTCCTTATATGGAAAAACAGGATGGCAGTGAATGCAAAATGTGTTATCTCTCTGTGAAGCCCTGTAACCAAATTTATAGTGAACTTGTCAGCTTTAAACTGTCATGTGTAGTCTGGCATTATTATTGTTAACATGGGGTTGGAAGGCATGCTATGGTTATTTTTAATTTTGTTTTTCCAGGCTGAGATTTTTTTGAGGTTTCATTGTTTTCGTAACTATAACTTTCTCTGACTTTTCAAAATTTGTTCTTTTATGTTCAACAGATATTAAATATTATATATAATTATACTTGAAAGTAGTACTTGGCAGCATATCTCCCACGTTTCGACTTTTGTCTGGAAAAAATGGCAGATCAGAATCAACCACAAGAGGGAGCTAATGTGAACATTCTAGGTATGTATTTGTAATTTTTACATCAAAAAATTTCAGAACAAGCTCGTCATTTAGAACATAAGTTATGTTTATATCTTTTTGATGTTTGATTACTAGTTGCAGTATTGCTCACTAATTTAGTTCAATGGCTCAAGCTCTGTTAGAACCTTTTTTGAAAAGGACGCTGACGCTATAATGCAAAGGACGCTGACCATAGCTTGAATCATAAACCTATATTTTTGTTTTATCAGAAGAAATACATAATATGGTTCTTAAAATATACTTTGTTTCAGGGGCACACATCGATGAACTGCATGCAGGACATGTAAATCAGATTGTTGCTCAGGCAGACGTAGTTCAAGCTCAAGCAGAAGTGATTCATGTAGACAATGTGAACCTTCACATGCATTTTGGAGATAATGGTAATTTTTTTTAATATAGGGTGTGAATGGCATGTTCATACATAGTTGAGACATACGTACATAGTTAGGAAAATTCAAGTGAAAATACTTTTGTCTCTCTTTGCTGTCTCACTCTGATTTCCCTGGTAAAATGGACTATTTGAGATGAATACCGTATATGCTCGTTTTACCGCCCAATCTTGATTAAGGCCCGTTTGAATAGCTGCCCGTGTGAACAGAACATAAAAATAAATAAGGGCCGGTGATTGAATACCCGCCCGATGTAAAAGCTGATTTTTCAGTGGTATAGAATAATAGGAAATAAGAAGCGCTTTTGTCACAACGCTGTTGAATTTTAAGCGCCGGTAGATAACACTCACGCCTTAGGCGTCCACGTACATACCAGATAGCATTGATTACGTAACACCATGGTTCTCAAACTGGGCGTCGCGACGCCCAAATGTGTCGTTTCAAATGATAGGGCATCGCAAAACTTTTCTTCTTTTGCGAATTTGTACCTGCGGTGCGTAGAATAAGTCAAAATACTCGTTATTCTCGTTTAAATCATAATTGAAAACTGGAAATAACAATATATTAATTATTGTAACGATCGAAAATAACAAGCGCCCGTGCTTGAATAAGGGCTGGTTTGAATAAGGGCCCGGTAAGTAAGTTGGTTAAAAAAATAGGGGCCCGGGCTACAAAACGAGCAAATACGGTAATCTCATGTCGACTTGTTACTTTTCGCCAATGAATTTCTTTATACTTGCAGTAAACTCGGGCGGTTTTTATTTTTTGGATCTCCGCCCTAGGAGACCCTTGTTTTTAGTCTTTCTGTCTGTTTGTCTGTGTTTAGTTGTAGCCTCTAAACTACTGTGCCGATCTGGTTGAAATTTCTCACATGGCTTATGCTGTCACCTTAGGAATGTGCGCGTCATCGAAAGTCTGGATTGGTGTTTTGTTTCCAAGGCATCAGAGATAAAATACGCTGACCGTCTAGTTTTTCACAATTTGTCAACAATATCTTGTAAACAACCTCCAAAATTAAAATTTGGAGATTGCTACCACTCGCAGAAGTAAATACTCTTTCAAACAAGCCATTTTTCATGTCGTTAATCCAAAAACAGGTGAAGCCTTAGAAAATTTAGTGAACATGATTACTTATTATCCTCAGTATATCGCTCAAGAAAAGAATACCACTGAGACGTGCAGTGCTCAAAATGAACTGGCAGTTTTGTTATCCCAGTCTCCGCAGTACGCAGTTGTTATAGGTGCAATTTTGGTGGATGGTAACGGTTTACTGAAATGCTGGTCCCCTTATGAATCAGTGGAGATCTTGGGCGGCTACCGGCTTGTATTTTCTATGGTTATGTATGTAATATTAAAATATTATGCTTGCCATTGACTTTCAATAAGTTTCCGTGAACTAGTGCCTTTCATACTAATAGGACGCAGAATTCGTTGTGGCGAGTGTTATTGGTATATTTATCGTCACCAGTCGACAAGTGTTTATGAAATTTAAACTAGGTATTATAATGCTATTGGAACTTCAGTTGGAAGACCTTAGGAAAAAGCTATCTAACCACGCTGGAGTGATTATTTGTTTTATGACACGAGTAAACTTTAAGAAAGACAAATTTAGGCAAATAAAGTTCATCAAGGTGAATTGAAATTTTTTTTTTATCACGCTTCCTTTAAACCTAATGGACAGCCCCGAAATGCTAAATGAATTAACACGGTTTTTGGAAGTTTCTTTGTACAGACATGCACCATATGTTTTGTTTGCCTATAGCATAAAAAAGGGGACAGCCACAAAGAGTGCTTTGTGTCAATTTATATTAAAAGTTTTTGTTAAAAATATTCTTCTCCACAACCATGGTCCAGAAAATTAGGTTACATCTGGATATGAAAAATGTGTTATCGGACAATATATAGCACTGACATGCTTAAATCATTTTTTAGGGGAAAGTCTGGATGGTAGTTTTGGTTTAGAAAAATTGTACTTTTATCACACAACATAATCCCGGTATTGTCTAACTTTATACTTTTATTTCAGCAGCACCACAAGCTGAACTACAACATGATGCGCCTGCACTACCACATCAAGTGCAGGATGATGCACCATCGGCCAAACCAAAAATGAAAAAAAAGGGAATTTCCTCTTCATCAGGTATGAACCAAGAATAATGTCGAGTATTTTCATACAGAGCAATATAGAACTAATTTATCCCATCTTAGGTGAAGTGGGGAAACCAATTATATTCAACTGTGGCACTGACATAGTGCTCTCAATTCTTAACTGGGGGTAAATTGGACTTGCAGTTGGGAGACATTTTGTATGCAATAAATTCATACTTCTGTTCACTAAGACAATATAAGTTTCATTACATAATCAAATGTGGCTTCTGAGCATGTAGAGCAAGTGTGGGCAATTACTTTTTTGAGTTGGCCAGTTCCAGATAACAGACTTGCTTATTGGACAAGAGGCTCAATATGAAACTAGGAATTAAAACAGTTTATTTGCAAAAAACTAGCGTAACAGATAATGTACAACAAACATCTATTGTACCAAATGACACAATGATAAATCGGACTAATGCAGGCTACTGCAGGCGTCCAAAGGTTTGTTCAAATCAGGCTTGAAGCTGCTTGTGCTGATTTTTTAGACCACTCGTAGGTTTGAATACGTTAGAGGAGATCGGTTTTTGCTTTAGTTAGTCTTCATACTTCGGAATAATAATTCAAGTTGCATCTGAGGTATATGTGGGGACGGACTGAAAGTAGGCACTTGAAAATTAGTTACTTTTTTAGGCATTTTAGAAAAAAGGAAAATGGACATAATTAAGATGATAAATTAGTTGGAAAATGTAAAATTAAATGTTGATGTCAAGTCCAGTTGGATAATTTGTTTTAACATCCATATTTACGAGGCGGTATTAGCCCGCTTAAGCAAGATTTAGAAATTAAATTAACCTAAATACTTTTGTAAAATTTGTCATTTTGGTATGTTAGCAAGAACCATGGGCAAATTCTCCCGGAATTTGAAATGTTCATTTAGTGACGCCGGACACCATTTCCAAGAAAAACAGCACAGGTCCCGCGATATCAGATACTTGAATAGATACTTGAATGGCATTCTGAATATTTAGTACAGCGTTTCCTAACCTTTTTTGGTCGCAGACTAATTTTTCACCGGTGAAAACCTTTGCGGACTCAAGGTGCGTTTATTGCAACCGTTCGTGTGAAGAAGCAATAAAACCAAACACAACGGAATTTGAACGAATTTCAAAATCGGAATTTCGCGCAATTACGCGTCCGTAAGCAGAGTCGATTTTTTTAGTGTATAATGGCCTTTTCTATCGCACTATATTCAATCCATGGCAACGACGAGAATTTAAAATGTCTTCCTATTTTAATTGTGTTCCTGGTAACTCGCGGTTGAGTCGACTTACGACAATGCCATAGCAATCTGCTAACATATTGCCCGATTATATTTAGTTTTGATACATATTCTTAGAGATCTTGCAAATTTGTTATCGCCGTTATAAAAATCCTATCTGCTATAAATTTCCAAAAGTACAACTTGATTTAGTTCTTATTAAATATATATTTAAAGTATATTTGTAAATAAAAAATAACGCCTTACTTTAATATTAATTTAATGGTAATCATTTTAATCTGCGGTTGTGTTGACGAAATAAAAGCAATACTAATCAGAAAATATGATGACAATCCGTGGACACAAAAATGCGTGGTAATGTGCCCGATTATATTTTGTTTTGATTCGTATTTTTGTGAATTCAACAAAACTGAGCTGTTCGTTACAACACCTATGGCGCTCCAGTATGTACGTACCAATGTGAAGCCAAAGGAAAAAGCCCTGGTACATATAATACTCCCAGTATCACCCCGAAATTTTGCGATTTGCAATGTCTAAAGAAGCGTTTATAATCGGTCGCGTACAATCATAAAACAAAAGTTATGTTCTCCGTTTTATTAAATTTTTTGTATTGCCCTTTTCAATTTAGAATATTTGGGTTGCCACAATACACTACTTAAAAAGAATTTATTTCTCGTTGTTCGAAACTCGCGAGAGAAACACCACGCGTGTGTGCTCGGGTTTTCGACGCCGTCGGAAATTCGCAAGTGAGTTGTGAAATCCAATCGTTTCGACCTGTCGCGTCACCTGTTACCCGAATTTTCGTATAGTGAATTGCCTATTCTAATAGTTGAATATTCGAATATATGCCCAGCCATACTCAGTAATTAGTAATAATTGACTTGTATGTAATGTTATGTGAATAAACTTGCTTTTTATGTTTTATGTGAATTTTAACGTAAATCGTAACTTGGCTGATAGTTAACTTTTGCAAAAATGTTTGCGGCCCGCAGTGAATTTCTGGCTCGTTGCGGACCCATTCAAACACTTCGCGGCCTCATTTGACACCGCGGATTCGGGTTGGGAAACACTGATTTAGTATAATGATAAAATCAAAGGTTATCAGATGTAACAATGTGTGAACACGCCACCGTTTTTTTTTTGGTTGACGATCCTGCCTATAAGTCTGGGAGCTAGGGGGAAATTACAAATTTTCCAGAACTTCATTTTATCCTCTGATCTGGAGTTCCAGCTTCAATACCATTGAATTTTGTATGTCATGAAATCTTTGCGAAAGTGAAACTCAAATTATGATATAAGCGAGGTATATAGTTACAGTAAGCCTTGTTTCATCATTTCAACCCTCTAGCACCATGCAACGAGGAGGGAGTTATCACATACATGCATTAAACAGAGCGAATATGACTCCCAATCCTATGATGTTTCTCTGTGCATGTTCGTATTCATTAGAACTGTTTAAATAGATTTTAATCTGAAAAATTAAAAGAAGTCATTGAATTATAATTTAAAAGTATGCATCGTCAGTGTTTGATTATCCCACCCATCATACTGAATAGGTGTAGTAGGATGAAAAACAGTTTTTTTTTTTTTTAATTTTTTTTTTACAAATTTCATATTTTCAATTTTTTTTGCTTTTGAGATTTTTTTTCATTTCAAGCGTGACAACGATAGGCAACCATAGAATACCAAATATGGAAAATTTTTCTCTCTAACCTTATACAACATTTATCATATTCAAATTCAGGTTTGTCATCGCATATGCAAAGCAGAGAGCAGCGAAACGTAAATTTGAAAATAAGCAATGAAGATGTGCTTGTGGCAGGTGAATGTATTTATAGTTTGTTCTCATGTAGTGCTATTGGTTTCCAGGTTTCCATCGAAATTAGAAATGCTACATTTAGTCAACATGGAGGCAACCCTGAAGCTTTTATAAAATGTGTCAGATCCGCCTTGCAGTATCACATACTATGACTTTTTTTATTACAAATGAAATCGGTTGAAAGTTGACATGGTAGTTTTTCATACCGAGTGTTATCTCACCTATCTGGACTCTGGATATGTTTTCATACCCTCTAAGTTGATAGTTCTCTCTAAACAGCTGCGTTGTCTGTATCACGAGATTAGACATAATGCTGCTTTTTTCACTGTCAATAAATTTCATTTTATAAGTTCGTCCCTATTCATTATTCTTCATTTCAGGTTCTGCAACATATTTGCAAGCAGAGCAAGATGCCAATGTTGATATTGCTTCATCAAACATTTACATGACTGCAGGTAAGCACTTGGTAATTGGATTGTTTGTAAGTTCTTGAACAGATTAGTCCAGTGGTTCCCAACCTTTTTTTGAGTGATCCATATTTAAAGGATAAATTTTGTAACATTTCACGTTGCAAGAATATGCTCTAATACTAAACGTGTGTAGTTGCATGATTGTATATCAAATGTAAGTTGACAAGTTTTAACACTTTGCTAATTCCCACATTTCAGTTATTATTGATAACACTTCAATACAAAATAAACAATTAAATTTCCTAGAAAATAAACTGAATAACTTCTAATTCTTTGTTCAAAACAAAGCGACCCAAGAGCATTTTCAGGCGACTCCGCTGAGGATCGCGACCCCTAGGTTGGGAAGCACTGAATAAATAGTTCCTCTTATTTGTTTCAAATCACAGTATTTTCCACGTTTAATACGCACTTTCAAGGTGACATGTTGTCTTCTTAATATGAGGGTGCATATTATGCACCGACAAAAATGTAAAAAATATTAGTCGATATTTCATGCTCCACTGACTAATAATTCTCACATATATTAGTCATGACTTATGAGTCTTTTTTAATTAGCAAAGTCTGTTGGATCAGAACATGCTTGTTTCGGGAGAAGCATAATAGTCAAACAAAAATTTATTGTTAATAAAAGTAGCAAGAGTCCTAAACAATTCATTAACTCAAGCATTGAAAAAATTGTGAATTAAAGTTAATAAGAATGAGCTGTACATCTGTTAACTGCTGTCGTTGTATCCCCTGGGTTGTTTCTCTAACTTTGTACAATCGGCATAAATCACTAAATGGGTATGTTTATTATAGATGGAGATTGAAAATTCTGATGCTCCATATTTTAAAATAATCTATGTATTGGTGGTATATTATACTTGAGGCCTCTCTAAATAAATTTTTTAGGTGAAGCAACGATAACTAAAGGGAAAGGAGCAACCACACATTTTCATGGCCCTGTCAACATCAACGTAGAAAATACAGGTAATTAATTTTTTTTTTGAGTTAGACCAAAGTGATTGTCAAAATGCTATTGCTTGCTAATTTTGATATAAAAGCAAGCTTGGGGGCATGTCGCATTGTACTAAAAAGATAAGAACAATGCTCACCACCTCACCTCAGGTTCATCTGTGTGGGTTCGCAAGTTCTAATTTTTTGGAGATAATTATATGTGAGAGGATTACTTGACTTCCTGTCACCAGAGGGTGGTTCACATAATTGCTGGTTGGTTACGGCTTCATCCACCATTAAATTCCTGTATCTGACTGAAACAAATAACTTGAACTGGTAACTGTTCAAGAGGTTATGGGTGATTGAGCGGGCTTATTGACTTTCTTTTCCTAAACATCTTAATCCTATCCTATAGTGTGGCCCAAGGTTGTTGGCTCCAGGGGCCACAAAATCATTGCATTGTTTGCGGGCCAAAAACTTTTATTGTGCGAACACATTGAACAGTATCATTATTTATCAAGCTAACCCATGCAAAAACTTCCTGAAACTTGCGAAAGTATTTCCATATCAACATAGTTTAAGATTTCAGACTCTTCATAATGGAAAAAGTGCTTCCACAAATGTATGTGCTTTCGAACATCGTTAAGAGTTTCAAAGCAAAATCCTAACTTTGAAAAATGATCAATGCTCACAAGACACAAAATGCCGTTTAAAATTAAATTCCCTTGTCACAGACACAACTTGCCGACCTATCAAGCAAGCATTGGTGGTATTTTCCATCCCACATCCAGTTAAACGTCTGGGTGAATTCGTCAGCTTTCTTTTCAAACTCATGTTTACAAAATAACCGCAATTTTACTTTGATAAGAAAAAACAACTTATTAAACATTGATAACGCATTTTGCTCTATTCGAAAATACATAGTGGTATATTGACAGCCTGAAGGTACGCAAACTTCCTGCACTATTTGTATGTCTAACTACTGTCAAAGCGACAATGAGAATGTCTGTCACTGAGGATTTTATATCTTCTGGTAATGATGTCTGGCTCGCTTTTGGCCACCACGATGGAACAGCTTTTTTTGTGATGATAAAATCTCCCAAATGTTGACTTTTATTACATGGCTAGATAATTAACTTTTTCAAGCATAAATTCATATTTCTTTCAAGATTCAGCTTTCTTGCATCCTTCAACATCTTCAGTCCCGATCCATCAACCATCGCCAGTTGCTGCAACATTCGTTCCTGTCTATGAAGTGGAAGCACCCTCACCAGGTATGTCTTGATGTGCCTCAAACAGTGGTTTCCCAACCTTTGCCTTGCCTGTGATACCCCCTTTTTGGGGGTTTTAGCACTCATAGCCCCCATGTTTATCGTTCCAGTGGTATTTATAGTTGTATTTTGATAGGTAGATTTGAATTCCTATTATGTTCTAATAATTCATGCTCAACAAATTGAAACACCCTGTAAAATAACCTTATCGAGAAATGGATGGGTTTCCGTGGTGAAAAGTAAAATCAGTTTTGTGTGTAGCAATATATCCCCTTTGAAATCCTCTGTGGCCCCGTTGGGAGGCCATGGGCTCTGCCCTAAAGCATACAAATCTTTGTTGTCTTTATAGCATACTCCCCTTACGAAATAGCCAATGTTCTTTGCCATAATTGTCAGAAATGTTATTGCTATTTATCCTAATCTCTGGGGTGAGCTACTCTATTGTTCAATATTTCTTGTATAATTTCATCCATTTATTTTACTCCATTCATATTTAAAAATTATGACCAATTTTGTTAGTATGTATTTTCAAGGCGATTCTTCATGTTAGTTTATGTATAAATTTACAGTATTTCAGCATGTGTGTCTGAAACGAGCTCGAGACTTATAAAAGTTGAAAACTTAAATACAGCCTACTTCATTAGTATCAAATTTTCAAGAATTAGCCTTTTAGATTATTGAAAATCTATCATTATGCTAACATATTCTTTTTTTTTTTCAGGCCCCCTAAAGCAAGCAAAAGAAAAACTTTTTAGAGGTGAGCATCTTCGATTGAATACCAATTCTTCTTTAACAAACCAATATTACTATTTCTTACACAAAAATGAAATATATTTTTGCAGCAAACAGGGGTAGCGTTGCAGTGGCTTGGCTTGACGGTTTTCTCATTGTGCAAATCTTAAGAAACATGCTCGATATCGCACCCCCAATTAACTAGCATGGTTTCAGACGATTTTTCCTCTACGTTATTGTTGGAGGGATACCTGAACTGCTCCTGGTTATTGTAGGTGGGATAACTGAACTGCTGGCCACTCATTATTCAAATTGGCACTTCTACGTGGGGCACATTTAGCCTGCCGCAGGTTGCACACCTCTGACCTAGAGTTTTGTTATTTAATAGTGATGTCGATGACGTATTTTCCTTGGTTCATAACTCTTGTGACATCACCGTTTTGTTGTGATGTTACATAAAGGTATTATATTAGTTAGTGAATTTATTTTTGAATACTTTAACTGGTACAAACATAGCAGTAGTTGTGTCATTTAATTATGAATGAAAAGTAGATTACCGGTAACATGAATCGTAATCAATGTAAACATTTCTTCATATCTCATAGTAAAAAAAAAAAATATCCTGAACAGCAGGGCTTATTTGTCATTGCCTATACATACTATGTACAAATGCCAAGATTGTCGAAAATCGAAATCCTCTAGTATGATAAAAATCAGAAATATATAAGAATTAATAATATTCTTGTCTCAAGAGTCTTGAGAATCGACTGAAAAGAAGCTCATGCCAATGCTAAATTTCATAAAAAGCTTCAGACTGTAGATTCAATAAGATATAATTCAGCGGTTCCAAACCTTTCTACCCTGGCGGACCGGTAAAATTAGATTAAATTTACTCGCGGACCGGCAAAAAATTAAAATGGCCGGAACAGAAAAGAATAACATATTTTTGTCTAATATAATGCAATGCCAGGCACTCGATATGCTTCTAGATAATAAAAAAAGCACACTTAAAAACATTTCACACGGAGAAAAACTGTGTGCCGACCAAAAATTAAAAATAAGTGAAACATAAAATAATACCATATATTTGTGTAATGAAATGAAGTGCTGGGCACCCATTATGCGTAGGAAAGGCACGCAATAAATATCTCACATAAAAAACAGGTACATGCCAAATCATGTACAAACGCAATAACTCCTGTGAGGATTTCGTTTCCAATATAAGATTGCAAAAGAGGCCTCAAAGAAGTTTTTGCAACACGTAGCTCTGCAGCCGCGTGCAGTCGATTTCTTTGCTTCGTTCTAATTGAATTTAGTGATGAAAATGTTTTTTCGCATAACGCAGTAACTCGCTGAAAAGACAGACAACAGTTTGATTGCTCGATTACTTGGCGATGGGTATTCGTTATCAAGAGATATCTGAGTTTGTGATAAGTAATTCTTTTTTAATCTGGACTGTAAAGTAGAATCACCATTTTAATCAAGCCTTTTCTTTTTCATTGGGTTCATCATATTAATACCTCTACAGTTGATCGACGCCTCAAACGAAATGAATTTGCATTACAATGACAAAGTCGTCGATAACTTGGCAACAGGCTCAAAATCCTACTTTGTCTGGAAAAGATCTCTGCGGCCCATGCTTTTTTGCGCGTCTCGTGACCACGTGTGGGGTCGCATGTTTTACTGGAATATTATACTGTTCCTGACTGTTTTCTGGTTTAAAAAAGGAGATATGCATTACGTTTTATATGGATGGTCATATTAATCGGGAAAAGCACGCAGAACAGAAAAAGCACGCGTGCCGATTTTGAGGCTTCTTAATTTTGCGAGATTTGATGGAGCGCATTCGCGATGAATCGGAGTCTAAAAGAGTGAATGCTCGGCGCCAAGATGTCATGAATGACGGCGGAAGATAATTGCGTAATGAGCCAACGCAACTGTGTCTACGGTAAAGCGATTGTGACGGCATAAAAACATTAAAACAACATAATTTCTCGCGGATCGGCAAAAAAGCTTCGCGGACCGGCACCGGTCCGGAACCACTGGGATATATCAATAAAAACTTATTCACTCATAGCTTTTTTCAGACTAATTTTTGACTATTGCAACTAGACTAAAACTACTTGGAAGATCAAATAACTATTCAATTTATTTAATTTATATTTTATTTCAGAAACACAACTAAAATCTGACAAATAACTAGCAAAATTACGAAAACGACTTTGCTTGAAAACCTGTCTAGGTGAAATAAGCGTTTGAGCGACTGCTAAATGTGATTTGTTATTTCACCTTTGATATTTTGCTGATTAACCAATGCTGCGGAAATAAACAGTCACTGCTCGGGGAAACATACATTGACATAAACCCCATTCTTTAAATATTAAACAAACTATTCCACTATTCTCAAGTCTTAACTAAAATTGTTCTTTTCAGGTCGTAATGAGAGAAGCTTCATTGATTATTTCAATGAGAGGACATGGAACGAAACAGCAGTCAACATTATAGAAAACTATAAAGAACAAAACTTGGACGAACCTGACTTTGAGGTCAATCCTCAGCTGAAGCAGGCGAATGGTTTCTTTAGTGGTGAAATGGCACCTGAGACCACAGAATACAGGAAGGAACAAGAGTTTGCTGTCACAGAGGCGAATGAAAATATTGGCGAAGTGATCTCACCAAATGAACTAGTCCAACAGCTATGTGAGGAAGGTTGCCGATGCGTAGGACTAGTGGGTCAAGCTGGAGGGGGCAAGTCAACAATGATGAAGCGTACTGCACGAGGCGTTCTCGTTGCTAATGAACTGGATAACGAATCTAAAGCAAAAATAGGATTGTTTGCTCGGTTGTTCAAGAAACAGAAAAATGGATTCAAATTCGTTCATCACTTGAATTTCAGAGACTTTCTTGTTTCTTATGGTTTAACTCCAGAAGAAGCTTTAACTCCATGTACTCTGCTTTTCGGAAACTTTGCACCCAATCTATCAAAACAAACTTTAAGAGCGGGATATAATTGGCTTCAGAAACACCAATCAGAAGCAATTTTCTTCATTGATGGCCTGGATCAGGCTATATGGAATCTAGAGGGAAATTACAATAAAATGACATATACTGATAAATCAAGTACAGCCACAATCATGTTTAATATCTTATCAGGCAATTTGTTTCCCGATGTAACATTAGTTATTTCTTCACGTGAACACAGGATGGCATCCCTTCCTCTGAAGCTTCGACCTTCATTAATTATTGCTCTTGCTGGCCTTGAACGTGATGACACCAAAAAACTATTTACTGCAGTTGTAGGTGAAACAGGGGAAGAATCCTGGAAAAAGATGACATTTCAGTCACCTGCACTCGTGCCATTATCTTCTGTCCCTTTATTCTTGATTTTTAATGCGATCGTTCACAAATCCAACCCAAAGAATCTACCTAATACAATGACCGATGTAATGACACAGGTACTTCATATCTTCATGCGTTCCTCACACACTCAAGAGAAAATGATTAAAACAGCTTTTCACAGTTTGATGAAAATGTCCTTCGAAGGAACTCGAGAAAAGCGAGTCATTTTTACCAATAACGATCTAGAGAAAGCAGGACTTACAAAAGAAGTAGTAAGTGATCTAATCATAGAAGTACCTGGAGGCGGTACACTGCTGAATCAACGTCTTTTAGAAGGTGACACTCTGATGTTCTTCAGTCATCAAATCCTTCAAGAAATGTTAGCTGCTCTGTACATCGCCAACATGAATCTCGCAACTTTCCAAGCATTCGTCACTAACGAGCTCCACAAAGATCACTGGTCCGTTGTTCTACGGCTCCTGTGTGGAACTGTTTTCGATCAAAAAATTAAAACTCAGATCATCAATGGTCTTACAATTGGTAAGTGCAATCAGGACATTCAAGTCCATATAAATTTACCATATTGTGCTAAAAGCTAAGAACACTTTTGCAATAAGCTACTCTGATTACCCTACTGTATGACTCTTTGGGATGACTAAGTGGTTAATGCTGAGTGATTGGCACGACGGAATACGCTCGCCACCGCACCTCCAATTGCTCTGCGGGGGTTCGCAGATTCGAATCCCATGCGGGCATAGTTATATGCGAGAGGATTGATGGACTCCTCGTCGCCGTGGGGTGGTGTACGTAACTGCTGGTCGGTTACGGCTTCTTCCACCATCAAGTCCCTGCATCTGAAAACAAAGAACTAACTATTCTCATACCTGACATGGAATTGTAACTGGATGAGAGGCCGTGGTTCGCCATCTGGTTGAGTTGTCTTATCGGCTTTCCCCCTCCTCGAGATACATACGTACATCCTATGTTATGCAACATCCACCATTTGTCATTTATAGAAAGTAATCATTTACCTAAAATAACAATGTATTAGAAATATGTGATTCCTAGATATTTTAAAAAAAAATTTTTTCTGCCAGTGGCTAGACAAGAGAAGCAAAATTGTCTCAAACGTGCACTCTCAACTAAGCTGAATCAATGTACGAGATCCTATCAGAAGTTGGAGTTGTTTGGTGCGTTATATGAAACCAATGATGCCGAGCTCATTAGATCCCATGTTCAGGAAATCCACTTCGAAAATGAGTCTTTCCCTTCAGCAGGAATGTGCGCAATGTCATCTGTAATGCGACGTTGTGGCCATCTTGAACAAGTTCGCCTCGTCAATTGTGAGCTCAATGCAGAAATATTAAAAATCTTCGAGTTCAACTTGAAAGGTTCTATAGTGAAGGCAAGTGTTTAGTAAAAAACCTAATTTACATATTATCGTTGACGAAAATAATGCAAGGAATATGTTTACATTCACATTGTAAGATAAAAATGTATCTCCCATCAGTCAAACTACGGTATATTTAGTCGATTACCTTAAAAATGTTAAAATTATCAAAGTTATACCGACAGCGCCATGAACATATCTTAACTTGATTTTTTGCGTCAGATATTAATTTGTATTGTATTCCAACAGGTGTCGAAACTTGATATCAGCTTAAATCCGATGTCCGTTGAAGCTTTTGATGTCTTCGGGTCAGTTTTGACAAACATTGAAGTGGGAAGACTTGTTATGCATGGCTGTTCACTTACAGAAGAAAAGATTCATGTGCTCGGAAATCAATCACATTTACAGGTCGAAATGTAAATTTTTAGATGGTTCAATATTCCAATTCCCTAATATTTGGTTTTTAATTATTGTTAGTAAGTTCGTTCTGTTTTTATTTTTTATATAAATTTGTCAAATTATTCGAACTCTATTAACATTTTAATATTCGCTAGAAAAGATCTTCCAAATTATATTTAATTAGTATAGTTACTATGAGGAATTAGATTTTTATCAACCTAACAGAGGTATTATATATTTCAGATCCACATTCTGGATGTTCGAAATATTACAAACATGACGTTTGATCTGTATCTTGCAATTGTCAAGTTCGCATCTGAACATGATGTCAAAGAACTTTTGATGGATCCGTGGGATTGCTTCAACGCAAGCAAACAGCAGCTGTTGGAACTGAGTAAATGGGAAGTTTGTGGAAAGGTAAACTAAATCTGAAACATTTGAAATGCCCCACATCCTTTTAACTCACTAATCAATCCTAGTGTTGTTTCTCGCCCAACTATGGCTTACAGGAAAGAGAACTCAACTCGCCTTGCAAACGTTGACTGTATACTTTTAAAAAGCCAGGCCAGTGTTAAAACATTATGGCCTGCATGTAGTACTAATATATTGTTGGCAAATTGTTTCTTTCTTATTATTTTTCTCATAAAACGCTATTTCATGGAATCATGGCTTTCACTATGAACGAGGCTCTGAATAAGCAGCTACTGATATGGAAGGGAGCTAGCTACATTGTCTGGAAAAACTGCAGTCCATCGTTTTCAGCATTGTCTGCTCCATTTATTTGGACCATGGTTGCGATGGTGATGTGTTTGTGGTTTGTAAATCAGTGTATCTACGAAGAGAATATCTTAGATAAATCTCAAGTCAGGTTTCATCAGTATAGTTATGCAGCTTTGGGGTTTTGTATTTTTATTCACCTAACAAACAATTTTGTTTATCTCAGATCCAAGTTCTGGATGTTCGAAATATCATAAACATGACGTTTGATCTGTATCTTGCAATTGCCAAGATTGCATCTAAACATGATGTCAAAGAACTTTTGATAGATCCGTGGGATTACTTCAAGGCAAGCAAAGAGCAACTGTTGGAACTGAGTAAATGGAAAGTTTGTGGAAAGGTAAACTAAGTCCAAAATCTTTGAAATAGTTATATTCAATTGGTAGTGCTTTTATTTTGTTATAAGAGACCGCAATCGTAAGTAATGTTGAACACAATTATATTATTATAGAAAGACTATAAATACTTTTAAGGTACAATAAGTCATCCGCTAAAAAAGTCGGCTATAATAATGGGCGGTGAAAGTGTTTGCTCAACGCAAGGTTCTGAATCCTAAAAGAGCATAAATTCCTAAAAGTGGGAAGAGTTCTGATAGAAGAGTTGCAAAGTCCCGAGCTCCTAACTAGAAGCGTAAAGTAAAGAGTTCTGATCGAAGAGTTGCTAATTTTCCCAAAGCAAGGTCTCAAGTCCTCAACTAAACTTGTAGAGGATTCTGATAGAAGCGTTGCAAGTTTGCACAAAGCAAGGTCCCGGGCCCTCCTGGACTGGGTCTAGTCTCGGGTTCCAACTAAAATCGTGAGGGATTCTGAAGAGTTGCAAGTTTGCTCGAAGTAAGTTCCTGAGCCCTCAACTAAAGGTGAAAATTGTTTTTATAGAATAATTGCATATTTGCAATTTGTAACAAATTTGAACAAATTTGTAACCCTTCTATCAGAAATCTTTCCACTTTTAATTGAGTTGCTTGGGATGTTGCTTTTAACAAATTTGAACTTGAGTCTTGAACTAAAATGGAAAGAGTAACGGTTCTGATAGAAAATTTTTGAGGTTGCGTGTCAGCAGAACATACCTAATTTTTTACACCCTGGTGGGGTGGGGTCATCAGTTGTTTGCTATTTTGTATGTTTATATGTGCATACTAGTTTCATATCAAATGTAAGCAATAATAAGTTTAATAGTGAATAGAAGAAGGCCTGCCATAGGGTATTTGCAGTCTCCTTCATAACCTACTGCAATATCGCCATTGGCTATTTATAATGATATTTGATCGGTCTGGGATAAAATGTGATACCCATAAATTTTCATATTCTAGGAATCTTTATGCTTGTAGTTTATTAACAGATGCAATAATTTTCAGATCAATGTTCTGGATGTTCAATCCACCACTCAAATATCATCTGATCTATGTCTCACCATATATGAGTTTGCAAGTCAAAGGGGAGTCAAAAAAATTCTAATGGATTTGTTGGATTTCTCTAAAGCAAATAAAGAGCAATTAAAGAAACTAGACAAATACAAACTTTGTGGGAAGGTCTGTATCATATCACAAAATTTACTGTGACACCACCCTTACATATTTTCTAGTCTCCAATACACACTGCAAAATCTATCACAACTAGTCTTGTGGGGCAACCTCGTTCATTTTGCGCTATTCCATACTGGTCGGCACGCGGAGTAAGGGAACGATAGCAAAACAAGTTAGCAAGATTTTTTGCAAAATACACGATATATATTACAAAAACATATTTCTCACAGAATTGGTTTAAAGTGGGTGTGACAATAAATTTAAATAGCAGTTTCTTCAGAAGTTTACGCGTTTTATCTCACTATTTCTGCAAGAATCAATAATAATACTGTAAGATCACTAGCAAATATAAGCAATTTTTGTGGCTTGCAACTACTAAAAAGTCTGAATTAAATAAATGTGCGGCCCGTAGCTTCACCCAGTTACTTGTATTTGGCCCGCCAATGAAAAAGGTTGCACACCTCAGGCCTAATCCATTACGGAAATTGATATCCAGAGAAGGTCAACCCCAAACCATCGTCTATCCCGAAGACATTTTCAAATAATATTTCGAATATGGAATATATTTTTAGTTTAGATTTTCCAGTATTTTAGAATGTTTATTTGATATTTTAGTAATCAGAAGTTAAAAAAACCAGGACAGGCATAAGTGAACAGCAGATACTTTCCATAACATATGGCATAGATCAGGCAGAATAATAAATTCATAAATGATAAATTCGCAAAAAAAATATTCAACTTATTTATGAATTGAAGGACTACCGTAATTTAGTTATTTATTCTTGTTGGATAACCTAAATGTCAGCAACAACAAGGATCTTGCTAAGGTATCAAACAGGTCAATTTACGTACATGGTCATGCATTGGACATTAACATTTCTTACTTTGCTTTTTGAAGATAGTCCCATTATGGCAGTGGTTCTCAAACGGTGGGGCGCAATGGCTTAGATAATTTTTTGAGAGGGCGTGAAGCCAATTAAAAATAAAAATATTTGTTAGATTTGATCTTGCCCGACTTGTTTTGGATATTTACATTTGTTTATTTTGGATACTTACATTCCATCCATGTATTTTCTACGTATTTTTTGAAAAAAAAAAAAAATTTGCCAAAGGGTCTACTATTTGTAGCTTATTGTTAGCTAGTTTGTTTTTGAGGTGTTGAAATGTTTTTGAAAGTATTATATGGATGGCATATAATTGAGTCTTATTATTTATTTTTCACTGTTTTTCGACATATTGATGCGTGATGTTGATATATATCAGAAAATCAACTTGTGTTAGTGGTTCTAAATTCACTCTTCTGTGTTAGTAGGCACCAGCCTTCAAACATTCAAATGCCAAAATACCAGCCTTTATTGCACTGATGTTCGTTATCTTTATGTTTTTAGATGTCTGTTATTGATATCAGTCAAAATTTAATGGACGAAGAAGCTTTTGATGTTCTTGGTGACCTTTTGTCAAACTATGAAGTTGACCAACTCATTGCAAAAAATTGCCAGCTAACAAAAGCAAAACTTGATGCTCTTGGAAGTCATTCTGGCTTAAAAGTATGATATAAAACTAAAAGTGGAAAGAGTTGTGATAAAAGAGTTGCAAATTTGCTCAAAGCAAAGTCTCGAGATTTTAACTAAAAGTGGAAAGACTCTAGATATGGGACTTGCAAGTTTGCTCAAAGCAAGGTCGTGAACCCTCAAACAAAAGGGGAAAGAGTTCTGATAATAGAGTTGCAAGTTTGCGCCAATACAATCCCAAGCCCTCAAATAAAAGTGGGAAGAGTACTGATGAAAAAGTTGCAAGTTTGCTCAAAGCAAGTTCCCAAGCACTCAAATAAAAGTGGAAAGACTCCAGATAGAAGGGTTGCAAGTTTGCTCAAAGCAAGGTCCCGGGCCCTCAGCTAAAATGGGGAAGAGTACTGATAGGAGGGTTGCAAGTTTGTTCAAAGCAAGGTCCCGGGCCCTCAGCTAAAAGTGGGAAGAGTACTGATAGAAGGGTTGCAAGTTTGCTCAAAGCAAGGTCCCGGGCCCTCAGCTAAAAGTGGGAAGAGTACTGATAGAAAGGTTGCTAGTTTGCTCAAAGCAAGGTCCCGGGCCCTCAGCTAAAAGTGGGAAGAGTACTGATAGAAGGGTTGCAAGTTTGCTCAAAGCAAGGTCCCGGGCCCTCAGCTAAAAGTGGGAAGAGTACTGATAGAAGGGTTGCAAGTCTGTTCAAAGCAAGGTCCCGGGCCCTGAGCTAAAATGGGGAAGAGTACTGATAGGAGGGTTGCAAGTTTGTTCAAAGCAAGGTCCCGGGCCCTCAGCTAAAAGTGGGAAGAGTACTGATAGAAGGGTTGCAAGTTTGCTCAAAGCAAGGTCCCGGGCCCTCAGCTAAAATGGGGAAGAGTACTGATAGGAGGGTTGCAAGTTTGTTCAAAGCAAGGTCCCGGGCCCTCAGCTGAAAGTGGGAAGAGTACTGATAGAAGGGTTGCAAGTTTGCTCAAAGCAAGGTCCCGGGCCCTCAGCTAAAAGTGGGAAGAGTACTGATAGAAGGGTTGCAAGTTTGCTCAAAGCAAGGTCCCGGGCCCTCAGCTAAAAGTGGGAAGAGTACTGATAGAAGGGTTGCAAGTCTGTTCAAAGCAAGGTCTTGAACCCTATACAAAAAGCGGAAAGAGTTTGATAGAAGGGATGTAAATTTATTCAAAGCAAGGCCCTGGGAGACTAAAAGTGTAAAGCCCGGTTTATCGATATGCAGGACTTTTATATCTTGTGTAATACCTGAATCCAACAAACCAGTAAAAAAAACTCCAGCTTCGACCCGACCTGAAGTTTATGTCAAAAGATATTTTGATTTGAGGATTAAAGAAGTCCCTAGTATGAAGGTGCTGATATGAATTATATATAAAACTCTGAGTGCGTCAGTGTTGCTTTGAACAAATTTGTAACCCTTCTTTCAGAACTCTTTCCACTTTTAATTGAGATGCTTGGGATGTTGCTTTCAGCAAATTTGAACTTGAGTCTTCAACTAAAATGGAAAGGGTAACGGTTCTGATAGAAAAGTTTCAAGTTTTGCGGTTGCGTGTCAGCAGAACATACCTAATTTTTTACACCCCGGGTGAGGTGGGGGTCATCAGTTGTTTGCTATTTTGTATGTTTATGTGTGCATACTAGTTTCATATCAAATGTAAACATCAATAAGTTTAATAGTGAATAGAAGAAGGCCTGCCATAAGTATTTGCAGTCACCTTCATAACCTACTGCAATATCGCTATTGGCTATTTTTAATGATATTTGATTGGTCTGGGATAAAATGTGATACCCATAAATTTCCATATTCTAGGAATCTTTATGCTTGTAGTTTATTAACAGATGCAATAATTTTCAGATCAATGTTCTGGATGTTCAATCCATCACTCAAATGTCATCTGATCTATGTCTCACCATATATGAGTTTGCAAGTCAAAGGGGAGTCAAAAAAATTCTAATGGATTCGTTGGATTTCTCTAGAGCAAATAAAGAGCAATTAAAGAAATTAAGCAAATACAAACTTTGTGGGAAGGTCTGTATTATATCACAAAATTTACTGGGACACCATCCTTACATATTTTCTAGTCTCCAATACACACTGCAAAATCTATCACAACTAGTCTTGTGGGGAAACCTCGTTCATTTTGCGCTAATCCTTACTGGTCGGCACGCGGAGTAGGGGAACGATAGCAAAACAAGTTAGCAAACTTGTTTGCAAAATACACGATATATATTACAAAAGCATGTTTCTCACAGAATTGGTTTAAAGTGGGTGTGACATTAAATTTAAATAGCAGTTTCTTCAGAAGTTTACGCGTTTTAACTCACTATTTCTGCAAGAATCAATAATAATACTGTAAGATCACTAGCAAATATAAACAATTTTTGTGGCTTGCAACTATTAAAAAGTCTTAATTAAATAAATGTGCGGCCCATAGCCTCACACAGTTACTTGTATTTGGCCCGCCAATGAAAAAAGGTTGCATACCCCTGGCCGGATCCATTACGGAAATTGATATCCAGAGAAGATCAACCCCAAACCATCGTCTATTCCGAAGACATTTTCAAATAATATTTCAAATATGGAATATCTTTTTGGTTTATATTTTCCAGTATTTTAGAATGTTTATTTGATATTTTGGTAATCAGAAGTTAAAAAAACCTGGACTGGCATAAGTGAACAGCAGATACTCTCCATAACATCTGGCATAGATTAGGCAGAATAATAAATTGATAAATGATAAATTCGCAAAAAGAATATTCAACTTATTTATGAATTGAAGGACTACCCTAATTTAATTATTTATTCTTGTTGGATAACCTAAATGTCAGCAACCACAAGGATCTTGCCAAGGTATCAAACAGGTCAACTTACGTACATGGTCATGCATTGGACATTTACATTTCTTACTTTGCTTGTTGAAGTTAGTCCCATTAGAGCAGTGGTTCTCAAACGGTGGGGCACAATGGCTTAGATAATTTTTTGAGAGGGCGTGAAGCCAATTAAAAATAAAAATATTTGTTAGATTTGATCCTGCCCGACTTGTTTTGGATATTTACATTCCATCCATGTATTTTCTACGTATTTTTTGAACAAAAAATATTTTCGCCTAAGGGTCTGTTATTTGTAGCTTATTGTTAGCTAGTTATTTTTGAGGTGTTGAAATGTTTTTGAAAAGATTATATGGATGGCATATAATTGAGTCTTATCATTTATTTTTCACTGTTTTACGACATTTTGATGCGTGATGTTGATATATATCAGAAAATCAACTTGTGTTAGTGATTCTAAATTCACTCTTCTGTGTTAGTAGGCCCCCGCCTTTATTGCACTGATGTTCGTTATCTTTATGTTTTTAGATATCCGTTATTGATATCAGTCAAAATTCAATGGACGAAGAAGCTTTTGATGTTCTTGGTGACCTTTTATCAAACTATGAAGTTGACCAACTCATTGCAAAAAATTGTCAGCTAACAAAAGCAAAACTTGATGCTCTTGGAAGTCATTCTGGATTAAAAGTATGACCAAGTTATAATATAATATCATGCCACTGTTGCTCTTTTGTTGAGTTGGCTGGAAAATACACACAAAACAGCTGGTTTTATGATGTTTGATATTGGTAAATTTGGATAGTAAAGTCTTTTTTTTGCGGCAATATCTAAAATCAAAGATGTAAATATCCAAAATAAGGCGTGCAAGATCCAATTTAACAAATATTTTTTATTTTCAATTAGCAATACACCCCCTCAAAAAATTGTCTGCACCCCACTTTTGAGAACCACTGGTCTAGGGTCGATACAAACAACCACTTTTGTACAAGAAACTGCCTTTCTTGATTAGCCAGGGTTTATCAGTCATATCTGTTACAATACTTTTGGATAAGATTTAGATATGTAATCTTATTGATACTTGAAATTCAATTACTTATCTATGTTTCAGTTATCCAGGTTTGACATCAGTGAAAATCCAATGGATGAAAAAGACTTCAATGCTCTTGGTTCTGCTTTAACAACAAATATAAAAGTTCTTGAACTTGTCATGCAAAATTGCCGACTGAATAAAGAAAAACTAGATGCTCTTGGAAGTCACTCAGGATTACAGGTTTCGTTTTTTATTGCTGTTTGATATATTATTGTCTGCATAATCTGCAATGTATATGTTGAAGGGGTTTGCTATTCAGCATTTCTACTAATGCCTGTTATGATTACCAGGGAAGATATCTAGATCATAGAAAAATACTTTGGGAAATATACTAACGTCATTGTTTTTCAAATTTGAGAAATATACACTGAAACAAACATATACATATCTGAGGCTTAATATAGATCAGTCTATTTAATTCTTTTGCTTATTTTGTCGATAGCTTGAAGAAGTATAAAATGCATAGATATCTGACGACTTGGTGATATTGCAAGTTAGAACTTGTCTAAATTCAAAGCCAACCGATATAGATTGTAAAATTTTCTTAAACTAGATGGTTTTAAATCCCGAGTTCACTACCAAGTGGTTGTCTGCAAAGTTGTTTACCGCCCTCAATTTTTTGTAATTTTCTAATATTAGATTTCAAAGTTGGATGTCAGTCTAAATTCAATGAATAAAGAAGCTTTTAATGTGCTTGGTTCACTTTCAAATAGTGTTGGAGTTGATGAGCTCATCATGCGGAATTGCCAATTAACAAAAACCAAACTTGATGCTTTTGGGAGTCATTCTGGATTGAAGGTATGATATAGATCAGGGGTGTCAAACTTGTGGGTTTTCGAGGGCCTTATTGCATTTTGGGAATTGTGCAGAGGGCCGCAACAGTTTTGATATAGTTTTATAATGTATACGCCAAGCATATTTTTAAATCGGTGTAGTTTGTGACATTTATTGTGATGTAATTCAACTGCCGAATAAAGTTTTGTTATTTCCCTCAAATTTTAAATGCCAATTACATCATTAATTTCTTGCATTTCACTATTATTGTAATTTACTGTATTTATTACAAAATTTTTATATTAACCATCCAAAACATTTTTGAACAAACTTTTGATAAAAAAAGAATAATACATACACCAAAATTAATTTTACATACTATATAGGTAAATTTTAGGTCTATATAGGGACCTCCAGAAGTATGTGCACCAAGATGGCGCACAACCTGAACCCTAACCTGGTACACATATTGTGTTGACAGCAATAGGATAGGAATTGCATCTTTTTCCTGGGAGAGAGGAAAGCCAATGAAGCGGCTTAATCATATGGCGGACCACGAACTTTAATCAGATTACCAGTCTATGTCGGTTATGGGATTGGTTAGTTATTTGTTCAGACGCATGGACATGATGGTGGAGGAAGTCCCAACCGACCCGCGGTTATGTGAACCATAATTTTTCCTCACAAGATTCAATCTTGCGAACCCACGCAGGGTAATCAGAGATGCGGCGACAAGCGTACTTCCAACACCTAGCACAGTGGGCTACATCGACAATCCTAGTTTCTGACCTAATACCTATATTAACATAAACTTAACACAGATGCAAGATAATATCTTATCTTCATTTTTATTTGAACTAATTGATACACTATATTTACGCCCAGTTTAAACATACCAAAGTAACACTGTGAAACATATGATGAGAATTTGCTTGCTTAAAATAATGTAAACTTTTGATGTTGGTTTTTATCAATCGTATCTGTCACAATTTTTAAAGAAAATTCAGATATGTAATCTTATTGTTAGTTAACTTTCATTTCTATGTTTTCAGCTATCCAAGTTTGATATCAGTGAGAACCCAATGGATGAAAAAGGATTCAATGCTCTCGGTTCTTTATTGACAGCAAATAATGAGGTTATTGACCTTGTCATACAAAATTGCCAACTCACAAAAGAAAAACTGGACGCTCTTGGAAGTCACTCAGGATTAAAGGTTTTGTTATTTATTGCTGGTTGATCTATCATTCAGCATTTCTGTCAAACTAGGTTGCGATGTAGAGAAGATAAAATTGATCTTTTTTTTCCGTGTCTTGACCGCTGAAGCTCGACGGTGTCACTAATAGACTAATAAATTGTATTAGAGTATGTTACTTTTAATATTGCTTGCTAATATTTATTGCAAATTTCACAATTTAGTTAGATATATTATATGAAATCTTGAATATAAACACGGACCTGCGACAAAGTTTGTTATTTTAGATTTATTTGGACGAGAGTCATGGTGTTCCACAAATTGCTGGCATTGATATGAAGTTTTATCTTTTATTTTCATCGATTTTCGAAATTTCCTCCCTATAATCCTATTCGTTTCAATAGATTTGCACTCTGGATATTCGGTCCATAACCGGCATGACATTTGATCTATTTCTTGCAATATCTAAGTTTGCAACTGATAGTGAGGTCAAAGAACTTCTGATGGACCCATGGAAAGGTTTCAAGCCAACTAAAGATCAAATAATGGAATTGAGTAAATGGAAAGTCTGTGGAAAGGTCTGTAACATATTCATTGAGACTTGGAATATGATAACGAAATATTGCCTAATTCATTAAATATGTTGTAAACATATTGTTGATAAACCTTGGATCTCACTTTATTGTACAGAGTGTATGTGAATTTAGTGAATTGATATCCAGAGAAGGTCAACCCCGAACCATTGTTTTTTTACATTTTCAAATAATATTCGAATAAATTTTAAGTTTAGATTTTCCAGTTTTTTAGAATGTTTTTATTTGATATTCTAGTAAACAGAAGGTTAAAAAATCCTGGATTGAGAGAACATCAGATACTTCGCATAACATCTGGCACCGTTTAGGCAAAATAATGATAATAATAAATGATAAATTTTCAAAATGAATATTCAATTTATTTATGAATTGAAGGACTAATTTAAATATTTATTTTAGTTGGATGTACTAATGTCAGTAACAACAAGCATCTTGGCACTGCTGGTTTTGGTAAGGTTGGATTAGTTGTTTCAAAATGCCAGGTGAAGGAATTGAAGGCTTGGGATTGCAATCTGACAACAGAAGGAATAAAAGCATTCAAGGAAAACACTCGCAATGCCAAGGTAACGAACAGGTTAACTTACATAAATAGCCATGCATTGGATATAAATCAAGCATGTCTTGATATAACAAACAGTTTATGAGTTGTTTCATGGCTATTCCAGTGCAATGACTTTGGTCACCACAGAGTATTTTTAGTCATTTATAACTCCCAAGACAAATTGAAAGACAATTCATGAAACTGTGCCGGCCAGCATTTTTGTAATCTACCATGAAATATCGATTGGATCAGCAATCCTGTTTCACATTCACAATGACCTTCACGACAGCAGTCGGAACCGAGCAGTATGTGGCTGCTTGAATTCGTTAGGAAAATAGTTTTATAATTTAAACAGCGTTTCAAACAGTTTGTGAGATCTTTTCCGTCCAAATGTCTGATATCACTGCTTTTATATCTAATGAAATATCATTTTCTGGCCACTTTACTCCAGATTGGTCGGTTCGCCAATTTCCTTTTTTTACAAAAATATCGAGTCGTTTGATTCGATGTGGTGACTTCTCAAACGGAAAATTTCCAAAACGCTTGAACGACGCGCACTATCGAAAAGCGTTTAGTATCATATCAAAGAGAAAACCAATGTGCAGTCAACTGTATAGTCACATTTGAGCTTTACAATAGCTATACACCTCCAACAGCTGATAGAATGAGAGAGTGTAAATATTTTTGTTATTTTTTGACGTTACGAGAGACCTCTTGAAACAGGGGTTTTAGTTTACGGTCCTCCAGTGACATTTAGCGTATAGTACTCTAGAAGACCTTTCTAATGATATATAAATATTGTATATTGGGTAAATTTTGGGGGTCGTATGACATGAATAAAAATGGATATACAAAATTGGGATCGATTGGGAGCCTAAAACAGGACTTAAGTTGGATAGATACACTGATTGTCAGTTCGAACAAGGATCTTGGCATTTTGTGAGTTCATCTACATTATTAGTTCACTGATCTTATTTATTTCAGTTGGATAAACTAGATATCAGTACCAACAAGGATCTTGGCACTGCTGGTTTTGGTGAAATTGGATTGGTTGTTTCAAAATGTCAGGTGAAGGAATTCAATGCTCAAGGTTGCAATCTGACAGCAGCAGAAATAAGAGCATTCAAGGAAAACTCTCGTTATGCCAAGGTAAAGATCAGTTTATATACATGACCATATATTTGCTATAATTTTGATTTTTTGCTGAATTATGCGACATTATTACATGCTTTTCACATGGAACAAAGCTCAGTGTAAGCAGCCATCGACGAGTTTGGCAGATCTAAATATCTTGAGTTCAGCATTGCCCACACAATTTATCAAACCCTGTGGTGGTGGGCATGGGAGTGAAATTTGAAAATTTTATTCTGTGATTCAATGGATATTTTTCCTGAGCTTCGGTACTTTGTTTATTACCGTAACAATGACCAATCACTAATAAGTCAACAATAACGTAACAATTGCAATATATGCAGCCGCTCAAGATGCTCCTTTCTCCCAGATATATATTCAGCATGGTTGTGAATGTCGCCTCATTTTCATGGGTTTGCGTGTTATTTGTCAGTTTTCTGTTGTTCCAAAAAAAAGTACTTAAAACTCATTTTCTGGTCGTACTATTTCATTTGCCCATATTTTCTATTCCAAATTTATTATTGAATAATCGCAAAACCAACCATGAAAACAAATTTCACTCAAGTTTGATTCGTCTTTAAATAACCGCTTGCCTAGATTAACACTTTGGCAACTAATCATATTTGTTAGTGTTTAATCGGACATTCACTACAAAATATTTTGATCAAAACAACACGCCTGTTTCATAATTTGACTGCCGTTGCATGAGCCATATTATTGTTTATTGTCGGTTTACAGGCGTAAAAAATTGGGAACCGCTGTTTCTGCTTTATCCATGCAATGGCAGTCCTGCTTATATATCTGAGTGACTGTTCATACTTATTTGATGCCAAGGTTTTCTGTATTGAAGACAATGCATTCATATCGCCCACTGCATTAACAACTCCATAAATATATCAACTTAAACGAAGTTCCATATGAAAAGTCAAATACACTATCTTTCCTCTATTGTGAGCAAATATTTTTTCAATAGAATTTAACAATATTTTGATATCAGATTTTATTATGAGACATTATCACATGCATTTTGCTAAGAACGAAGCTTTGTGCAAGCAGCCTTTGGTAAGTTTTACGGGCCGAAATATCTCAGGCTCAGCATTGCCCATACAATTCAATACACCCTGACGTGGTGGTGGGCATGGGAGCGGAATCTGAGAGTTTTAAACACTATGATGCAATGGATAGGCAATATGTGCACCCGCTCAGACACTTAATTTGCTCAGACAAACATTCAGCATAGTTGTGAGCATTGCCTTTTTTATGGTTTTGCACGTTATTTGCAGTTTTCTGTTGTTTCAAAAAAAAAACTTAAACTCATATCTCTGGTCGTGATATTTGATTTGCCCATATTTTCCATTCCAAATTTATTCTTGAATGATTGCCAAAGCAACTATGAAAACGAATATCACTCAAGTTGTATTCATCGTGTTTTAATTATAACCGCTGGCCGGAATTAACGCTTTGGCGAATAAACCTATATTTTTTAGTGTTTAATTGTATGTTTGGTTGATCTCAGTCCGCATGGTAATGATTGGTAACCATTGTTCCAGGCTCTATCCATGCAGTGACAGTCCTGCTTATATATCTGAGTGACCGTCGTTTATGTTTGATGTGAAGGTTTTCTGTATTGAAGACAATGCATTGCTATCGCCTACTGCAATAACAACTGTATAAGTCAACTTGAATAAAGTGACCCTTCAAAAAGTCAAATACTGCTTTTTTCTATTTTGTATGTGAATATTTTTTCAATAGAATTTTACAAAATTGGTCTCTGGTATTCGAACAAGCTTAATTACCAAGAAGACTTTTCTTCATGTATTATATATGTCCTAATTAAAAAAGAAAATTTTAATCAGCTATCAGATTTTGATTGGGTTACATTTCCATCAAAACAACAGACAGTTGAATTTTTGATGAAAAATTTGTCCATTTTGATCAATCAGTTTTTAAAGTTTGCTTTCTTCATTTCTCATACTTTTATTTCCTATCACGATCACATTTTGTGACCGAGTTCATCTACATTAGGTCACTGATCCTTTTTATTTCAGTTGGATAAACTAGATGTCAGTCGGAATGATAGTCTTGGAACTGCTGGCTTTGGTGAAGTTGGATCAGTTGTTTCAAAATGTCAGAGCTGCAACACCCAAATGTTTTAGAGATTGCTGTATTATACGATATTATCACATGCTTTACACTCGTAACAAAACTCTGTACAAGCAGCCATTGATGAGAGTTTGACAAACTGAAATATTTCAGGTTCAGCATTGCCCACCCTATTTAACAAACCATGAGGTGGGGGGCATAGGAATGGAATCTGAAACTTTTAATCTGTGAAGTAATAGATATTTTTCCCGAGCTTCGATTTTCTTGTTTATTTCAGGAACAGTGACCAATCACTAAAAGGTCAACAATAACGTAACAATTTTTTCATAAATAAGTTGTTTATTGAATATCTTAAATGTCATTATAACTTCCTACGAGCTCCAATATGATGTATTAAAAATTGTTTCCAGAAAATCTACGATAGACTGGGCATAAATTAGCTAACAACCTGTTTAGAGCCATCCATATCTCCGTATCTCCAAAACAATCCCCAATTATACATCACAAATTTTGCAATACTAAAGTATAGGAACAATTTTTCGGAAACATCTATATCTATACAGTTATGACCAACGCTTATCAAAATAATTTTCTAAATTGAGTGAATATCAAATGGAAATTTTAATTATACAAATTCAACTCTGAAATTGTGA